TCTAACATTACCAACTCAGGCAATAAGTTGTTGGCAAGGATGTGGAGTAGGAGGATCTCTTTTGCACTGCTGGTGGGAATGCAAACAGGTGCAGCCACTCTGGAAAACAGAGGTTTCCAGAGGTTTCCAGAGGAAAACAGAGGTTCCTCAAAAAATTAAAAATGGAACTACCCTACGACCTAGCAATTGCACTACTAGGTATTTATCCAAGGGATACAGATATGCTGTTTCAAAGGGGCACATGCACCCCAATGTTTATAGCAGCGCTATCGACAATAGCCAAAGTATGGAAAGAGCCCAAATGTCCATCAATGGATGAATGGATAAAGAAGATGTGGGGTGTGTGTGTATGTGTGTGTATGTGTGTGTATGTGTGTATATATACACACACACATATATATATACACATACATATACGTATATATACGTGTATATATATATATATACATATACATATACGTATATATACGTGTATATATATATATATATACACACACACATACACATACACACACACACATTAACAATGGAGTATTACTTGGCAATCAAAAAGAATGAAATCTTGCCATTTGCAACTACGTGGATGGAACTGGAGGGTATCATGTTAAGCAAAATTAGTCAGAGAAAGACAAATATCATATGACTTCACTCATATGAGTAATTTAAGATACTAAACAGATGAACATAAGGGAAAGGAAGCAAAATAATATAAAAACAGGGAGGGGGACAAAATATAAAAGACTCTTAAATACAGAGAACAAACAGGGTTGCTGGAGGTTTGTGGGTGGGGAGATGGGATAAATGGGTAAGGGGCATCAGGGAGGACACTGTTGGGATGAGCACTGGGTGTCATACATAGGGGACGAATCACTGGAATCTACTCCTGAAATCATTATAGCACTATATGCTAACTAACTTGGACGTAAATTAAAAAATAAATAAATTAAAACAAATAAAAATTAAAACTTCATTTTAAGAGCTTAGTAGCTACATGTGGCTGGTGGCTACCATGTTAGACAGTACAGGTTGATAGAACATTTCCATTGTCACAGAAATTTCTATTGGACAGCGTTGGTCTGGAGACAGCTATGCCACAGAACATGAGATTTTGAGGAAGGGCACTAAGGGCTGAGTGTGGGTCTTAAAAATGATCTCTAAGTCTGTTGTGGGAGGTGACTCCATCAGGGGCAGGCCAATTTTTGCTCAACTTTGCTAGTGAGAGATCAAAATGAAATAGCAATCAATGAAGTCAGAAGAATTGAGGTGATTTTGGCCTCTCTCAAGTCTAGTTGTCATCAATTGATACACTTTGGGCTTCTCTATCTGCATTTTTGCTGTTGTTTCTCCTGTCCAGCTCTTTTTGTCTGAAGACAAGAAATGAGTCACTTTTAATCTGGAGGTCTTTAGGGGTCCATCTGCCAGAGCCCTGGGAGGAGAGGCATTCTGTTGCACCTTAGCAAAACATATCCTACCACCGATGACATCTCAGCAGTTGGCCTTAGCAAGACCATCAATTTTTCAATGTGGAAGTTCAACTATTCTGGATCCTAACCTTTCATTTTAATTCAAAACTGACCACAGAAACCCATGCCCAGATGCTCAGTGCTTTGGAGGCAGAGGGGCACATAATGATCGAAAGCTTCCTTACCACTAAATCTGTGCTTCGTAGTTAGGTATCAGGAACTTGGAAGTGTGAGTTAGCAACCCTGACTCCAGGTCCCACTGAGCCTCTGGTGAGTATGGAAGCAGTGAGCCTGGGCAGACTTACCCAGAGTTATGAAAATTCTGGTTCCTTTGCCAAATTTCAGCTGGGAGGCAACACCTTCATGCCACCCCTAATATCTCCATTACAGAAACCCTTAGGTTTCCCCTCCTCTGAGGGATGGGGTAACCCACCTCTTAGAGCCCACTGAAGAAGGAAGAAGGGAGGTCCCTAGGCCTTGAGCTGTCCACGGAAGGAGCCAGCTCCTCTCACATTCACATCCAGTCTGTATTTCTAAGTTGGATCCCTGATTTCCTAGTGGGGGCCTTCGGCCCTAATTATCTGTATTTCTCTCAAAGGCTCTAGAATCCCTTTTCTCTGTTGTCTAAGAAGACATCTTATTTGCCTTTCTCTGCATCCGAATTTATTATCAGATGTGTTTACTTAGGCCAAAATGCACGTGCCTTGTTCATGCCCAACATCATGCCTTCTTTCTTGTTTTTCCTTATGCCTGAAATTCCCCCTACTCTCCTTTCTTT